TTAAAGCTGTCTGTAGTTCTCTGGACTCTAATCCAGTATCTATTTGCTCTGTAGATAGAGATCCTGCCCATGTAGCCTCACATAGGTCAAAGTATAACACTACAACTCTGCCTTGTCCATTTTTCCTTGAGTTCCTTTGCGTATCAACAGCCTTGTGATATTTGTGGCACACAAATTTTAGCTTAGTTGTGAAGATGGCCTTGGTGAGTTTGCTTTTAGATTGAGGATAATCCTTTCCTGTGACCCATAACCTAGTGTTTGGTGCATTTAGTGGTAAGGCTGCATCAAAGCAAGAATATCTTCATACTTAGTTTTTACGCTTTCCCAGTCAACATTAATTGCCATTTAGAACCTTGTTACACTTAACTAACTCACACTTGTCATTAGTCCATTAAAATTTTTTTCCATTCCTTGATGCCATAGCTTGTCCTTCTGACTACAGCAAAAGGTCTCTGGTCCTACTACTGCACTGCAAGATAGATCATTTGAAAGCCTGTGCGCTAGTAATTATTAAATCACGTGACTAATTAATTATTATTAATTAACGAGGCATTGTTTTTGTCACTATTGTAAACACTAGAATACTGATGCATCATTTTTCATTCCAGTAGAGTTTTCATATTAATCTGAATTAGTGTAAATGCAGCCTAATACTACTGTATACCTACGTCATAAGCCGGGCTTAAAAGGTGTGGCGGCCTATGCCACGTACGTGTACAAGTGAGGGTACTTCAACTGTCTTTAATAGGCTGTCACTTTTAATCTCCATCCCTCACCAGCTCAGTACTAACGCTATCACAAAGTAAAGAAGAACCATTTTGTATGTTGCTTACAGTGTCCAGGCAGATTGTTGTTAAAAATATTTTTTGGTAAACGATGTGAAATAAAAAGCACTACACTTGACTGTGATATTATATATGGTGTATGCATTATAATACATGTATTGTGTAGATCTCATCTTAAAATTTGCCACTAGTCTTCATTTGTCTTTACTCTCCTAAAAATTCATCAATGGCTTAAATGCATCTCTTCCATTCATCCTCTGTATTACTATGTTGGGATTCATGCATGTATATAGTGCTGGAATGATTTCATTTTAATAAAGTTAAATCTCCTGGGATCTAGCTTCTTTCCTAATAGCCCTTGTAAATTTGAAGTACATACGTTCTTCAGTAGTGAATATTTCAGCTGACAGTTTGGCAAAAAATTTGGTCTGGAGCAAGTTTTGTTCCTTATTTTTGGAACTTTGCCATTATCTACATGTAGGTAACCGTTTCTCTAGTTGTCATTATTTATCACTGGTAAATCTAACTTCTTCAATATTTCATCAATTGGTGATACATTTTCCTTGTTAGGTGTGGATGTACACAAGTAATAGGGCAGGGCTTGCCATGGGATGGATTAGGTGCTGGCGTATATACAAGAGGTGTTGGAAAGGATTGAGAAAGAATATTAGATGGTAGGGGAGGAATTATACCTAAAAATACAGGCACAGTATGAATGCAATTAATTATGGTATTGGTTTACTTACTTTGTAACTAAGGCATTATTGTATACAGTTTATTGTTGTATACAGTTTATTGTTCAATTTTTAAATCTCGTTTTGAAGCATTTTAAACTTTTCTTCACACGAGCATGTGTCCTACACATATATACATGTACATGTATATGCAATTAACCTAGGGTAGCTTACATGTAAATGAACAGTAGATTGTGAGAAAAGAGTAATTTCAGAGGCATCTGTTTCTAGGTCCACTGGTACTGGCGATGCAGAAAGTCAGTTGTTGGTTTCTTTTGGAATTTTTGTACATATACAGTACCTACAAAGTTTTTTCTCCCTACTTTGCACTACTTAGCATTTCTAAAAATTGTACTGTAAGTATTAATGATGGGCGATAGTACCTCAGTTAATAATCTATATTACTAACCCTTGCTGCCACTAGTATCCTCATTATCACTTGATTCGATATCCTCAACAATTATCTTATCATGTAGTTTTTTTTCTTAAAAATATGTATGCAATAATGTGGGCAGTAGCCTTGAGCTAGCTTGTCTGTGCAGATGTAACCAATACAAATCTACACTTACTGTGAGTTTCCGTTATGGTCACTGAAAAATGTTTTCCTCTAGCTTTCCAGATAACTTTACTACCGAAGTACAAATTGTGCTGACACAACTTTTCTCCTGTTTCTGTTTCCTAATATCTGGAGTTCACATGATGCTCTTTATGTCTTCCATCACTTTTAATGAATTCAATAGTACACCAAACTATTATGCAAAAACAGACTTGGAGTTGTTAATAGATGTAACTGACAAGCTAATTCCTGTAAGACTTTTTGCCATAAGTTCAAAACGCATCAATTGCTCTTAAATCAACCAATCAGAATCAACAAAATGAATGACGGCACAACGGTTCACCAACCCTAGCCATACTATCAAATATAACTCCTAATTGCTTTTCAGTAATTTTTTGTTGTTCCTGTTCCAATGTAAAGGAAATCAAATCTGAGATGTGCCTTCTATCTGTAAGATGCAAGCCATTTTCTTCTTGGAGCTCTTCCAAGATTTAAACCAAAACATTACAATTGGTTTGGTTTTACTCCCCAAGCAAAAACTTCATCCATTAGTTGAGGCTCTTGGTATCAGCAAAACATACCAACTGCCATTTAAAGTCCAAGTTAAGATGTATAAATTATGCCTTCCGATTCTCACAAAAAAAATCCAATTTCATAAACTTTGATATTTTCAAATTCAATTCTACATTTTCTTGCTAAAGCACCTGCAACAGCCATCATATTTTCTTGCAACTGGTACTTTGTTTTGCAATCTATTTCTCCAAGCTTTTCATTTTTCAGTTTGCACTCTGGAGCCACTTTTGTTCCTTATTTGTAGAACTTTACTGTCGTCTAGGTACTGTTGCTCCATACTGTCATCATTTATCACTGGTAAATCTAACTTCTTCAATATTTCATCAATTGGTGGCACATTTTCCTTGTTGGGTGTGGATGTACAAGTAATAGGGTAGGGCTTGCCGTGGGATGGATTAGGTGTTGGCATATACGCAAGAGCTATTGGAAAGGATTGATAAAGAATATTAGACAGAGGGGGAGGAATTATACCAAAAAATACACATTGAATGTAATTCATTATGGTATTGGTTTACTTTCTAACTGAGTCATTATTGTATCCAATTTACTGTTCAAATTTTTAGTATCATTTTGTGGCATTAAAAACTTTTTTCACACGAGCAAATGTCCTACATGTATATGCATCTACATTTTGTTGTTGGTTTCTTTGACGTTTTGGCTACATTTACATCAGCGCAGAATTTTGTGAGATATTTGCTCTGCAAAGCTTCTGGTGGTGGCCCATTTTTGCCTGAGGAACTAAGCCTTCGCCCTGACCTTCTCAGTAATGAGCTCTCCTAACATTCACCATTCATCTGCCTGCTCTCCAAAAATTCTTTTGTATTGAATGTCATGGTAGCCTGCACCTTGTTATGAGCTGTATGCAGCCATCACACTGTTTCTCTCACCGTGTTGCTGCACGAAATCCCTTATCATTTTGGAAACAGTTTTAGTGGCAATCTGACTTACCTCGCTAGACCCAATGGGATATTCAATCATTACTCTTGATGAATGAGACTGAGTGAAGAAGTGGCAAGAGTAATTACTCTTACGCATGCATACTTCACTGCATTTACAGAGAGTTCTTTCTGACAGGCTAAACAAAAGAGTTTATTATTTGAGACAGTTAATTGTTCTCCCTTAAAAGTATTGACTCGTTGCTGAGGAGTGATGGACTTAGGATCATTTCTTCCTAGGTCTCTTGACTTTCTCTTTCCTTTAGGAGGATTCCTGTCAACTTTTCTTTTTCTAGCCAGCTTTGAAGGTGTAGGTAAGCAAAACGATTTTTGGTAATAGAGTTAGAACTGCTTGAACTTAATATAGAGGATTCTTTATCACTTTTAACCTTTTACACTGATTCTTCTTCCCCTATGTTCCTTCATCCTCATAGTTTATTACTTTAGCCATTATTCTTGTATTTTATCCAATTATTTCCATATTATTCTACGAATGGAGAAGCTCCTATTATTCCTTTAATTATGCTGGTATAATAGGCACAGGCCCAGCTATTAAATATTATAGAAAACTAGTAAATAAGTTTGTTTTTAAATGCCATTTTGTAAAGGTTGACTGTGTTATTGATTAATAGTACAACTTGTACATTTATATTGATATTGGCATTTGTTATTGGCTAAAATTTTGGATCTGTTATCGGAATATAAGTATAACATCATATTGGTGCATCTCTAATTTAAATACTTGATTTAGTAACGTGGTACAATACAAAGCAATAATAAAAGCAAAGTAGCTATGCTCCACAGTTACTTGTGTTGATAGCTTGCTGCTCCTTCATTGCGCATGCGCAAACCCACCAGTAGTAGTAGCCTACGTGGTCAGCTGCAGATAGTAGCTTGAAGGTAGAATGGAGCAAAGAACATCCTAACTGGGTTTCTAAAAGCAGAGGGTGGCAGTACAGTATCATCCTCAAGTTTTTTGACAGCTTTTGTTTTTGCTATTACAGTACATGTAACTTGGTGGTAATATAGCAAAGGAAAAGATCTACCTACAAAGTTTTCTTTCCCTACTTTGCACTACTTAGCATTTCTAAAAATTGTACTATAGGTATTAATGATGGGCGATAGTACCTCAGTTAATAATCTATAATACTAACCCTTGCTGCCACTAGTATCCTCATTATGACTTGATTCGATATCTTCAACAATTATCTTGTCATCTAGCTTTTTTCCTAAAAAATAT